TATATTAGGTCTTGCAAAACTTGAGTAATATTAATTACTTAATGTTCACTCTTAACAGCAATATCAGGACGCCATCAAAGCTCACAAAGCTGGCCGACCTGTTAACTTATCTGATCTACCCGTGCCACCAGGTAAGTTTTGAGTTCATGTGTGTCTTGAGATTTTGCTCAGAGTTGATGTGTAAGGCTTCTTCATGGGTGTGTGTGTGTGTGATTTTTGTTATTTGCTCCAGGTTGTCCACCGCTTCAGGGCACAGAGGGTGGTCAGCAGAACTTCATGGGTGTCCTGGAAACAGCAATGAAAATAGCAAACCAGGATGCAGACGCAGAAGATGAGGAAGAGGATGGACATGAAGAAGCTGCCAAGGTAAAAAGAAGAATGGGGGGGAAAAACAAATTCAGGGACTGCCAAATGGCCAAATTGTGGTTTTTGCAGCCAAGAAATCTGATTGTTTTTGCACCAAGCCAAAAAAAAAAATGCTTTATTGTCTCCCATAATAGCTTCTGCAACTTCTATGGCTGATTATTCAGTCATTGTTTTCTCAACTGCACCTTCTGCCTATTGCATCATTTTTGGGCTTGTTAACAAGTTTATTAATAGCAGTAATAATTTACACAAACGCTTTAAGGTAAATCAGTTTGTTCACACACAAACTCACAGATGTATTAAGCTGTATCTTGTGACCTTGAAATCTGTTCTTGTGTTCATTTCATTTGCTATTGATCCTAACCTCTGCAGGCTGTGGTGCGTCCACCTGTCCAGAAAGCAAAGTCTCCAGCTCCTCAGGCTCCTGCAGGCTCCTCAACTCCGAAACTGGGAGCTAAAGGTGAGTTTCAAATGTGGGTGTGTGTAAGAGGGGCATGTGCATGTGTCATGCGCGATGTTTGAGTGTTACACAACACTGAAGTGTTGTCATACTGCAAACCTTATGGCCCATTTATGCTCACCGTTCTCGCTCTCAGAAAAGGCGCTATATGAAAAAAGTGACTGAGCAATATCAGATTTCATTGTGATCTGGTCTCAGTCCTGAACTTACCTGCATGTGCAAAAGAAGACGATGGCACTAATTTTGCTGTTGCAGAGCAGTAAACATGGAGGACACCTGAGTCAGTGTTTACACTTTTGTCTGTGTGCAGTAGAAGTCAGCAAACTTGCGACTGCACAAAGAAGACGAGGCTAAAGAGAGACAACACTTCACTTTTGGTTTTTTGTACTGCAGTGGCTGCTAAGTCTTTACAGAGGTGTATGCAGTTGGAGCCAGGAGTGGATCGTGATGCAAATGGCCTCAGTAAAACAAATTTCATCCAAAAAGTTCAGGATGTAAAAATGACACTTATTTCAAGCAAGTGATGAGTCAGTTTTTACTGTTCAGACTGCGAAGAGAATCAGACCTGCATCTGATTCAGCACCACACGCTGTTCAACCCAATATGTGACATAAACAATGTGTGGTCAAGAAGTGAGTCACAGATAAGCTGAAATAAACTTTTTCTAACGGTGTGAACGTGGCATACAGTAAGTTTCGCTTATTTTTGTCTTAATTATCCTTGTAGCCCAGCAGCAATTGGATTTCCTGTTGCTAAGGCGACAAGCTTTCATGCGTGCGGCACTGCGCTCCAAAAATATGAAGGTAATCTTTTGACTTCCCAGCTTATTTTCTTTGTTTTTGTTTTAGATGCATACAGTGCCATATTTACAGTTTTTAGTACAGCTGCCTGTGATGTTATTGGAATTCCAAACGTTTGTTGTATTTTTCATTGATGCATCTGTTGCCGCGTTTGTAGGACATGACAGGAGCAGCACAGCACCTCAGACATGCCAAAGGACTGGACGCCATGATCACTGCTGCAAAGTCTGGCCTACCTGTTGACATCACCAAGGTTATAAATACATTTTCTATATATTAGTAATCACCGCTTGCCCTATGGTAGCTAGGATAGGTCCCAGCACCCCCACGACCCTGAATAGGAGGTGGATGGGTAATACTCAGGATGATCTTGATCAAGGGTGTCAAATTCAGTTTCACTAAGAGCCACACTGGGAAATAAGAGTCATGTTGACAGTGAGACATCTGTAGTTTGTCAGGCTTTGATGGTCATGTAACCTGCATATACCACATAACCTCATCAAACCTCACTGAAACTCTCAACTAGTCAACACAAAAAGCTGCACAGCCATTCTGATTAGTTTTACAACAAGCAGATGACTCATAACAACCTGTTTCATAAGCTTGAATATGATGGACACTCACAATAAATGGCATATTTACACGTATTTGGAAAAGGCTCTCATAGC